TCAGCAATTCTCTCATAAGGGGGCGATCACACACAGAAGCGCGATGCCAGTAAAACAATTGTTTTCCTATGATACGGCGCGTCTGACTGGCGTTCAAGCGTCTTTTTGGACGGGCGTTTTTCCGCCGTCTTTTTAGATGCACGTTTTTATAGACGCTTCTTTTTAGATGCGCATAGACGCTGAAAAGTTAAAATATTTAAAATAAAATATTTTCAAATTTTTGAGTGTCAGACGCCAGTAGCACCATTTGTCATTGTCATCACTGGCCCAGGCAGCCAATCAAATCCTCCTTCCTGTTTTGTTGTGGCAGTTACGGCAGTTTGGTCAGTTACGGCAGTTTACAGCAGTTATAAGCGACAGACAAGACAATAGGTTCGTTCGAGATGAGCCAGTCCTGCGCAGATTCGATCACCGGCGATCGGTGCACAATGGATGCCGGTTAGTTTTGTGTCCGACTTCACCCCGACTTGCTCTGACGTATTACAAAAGTGGATGGCGATACAACCGAGAGCGAGGCGGCCGCAGTTTTTAGAGCCAGGCGGTGCAGTTGGTGGAGAGCAACTGCAGCTCTCACCTGATCTGACAGCTGATTGGTTTAGATGTTGACTCAACAAGATGACGTTTTGGTTTAGATGTCGACTCAACAAGATGACGTTTCATATAAACTCTCTGTTTGTGATGAATGGGAGAGAGTTTGATTTTATTTGTCAGATTTGACGGTTTTATGTGTTAACAGAAAACGTGTGGCTGATGGTGACATTTAATTGAGATTCATATCACAGATCATAAACTGCACATAGACTATTGTATGTTAATACTTAACTGTTTTAATTATTGAAGTATTTACTTAATTTACGTACTTTGTAAGGGAAGGCAAAGAGGCTCCAAGGAGCAGAGCGACGGTTGGGAACCCACCTTGCATCCTGCAGCGCGCCTCTGACTGGGAGCTGAGTGTGGACCTAAAGAGGAAGCTTGTCTTCCCACAGGACGTTGCAGTGACCTCCCTCCGGCCAGACATGTTCCTGCTATCCAGGAGCACCAAAACCCTCATAGTCGCCGAACTAACGGTGCCCTGGGAGGAGAAGCTAGCCACATCCCACAAGCAGAAAAAAGCTAAGTACCAGGACTTGATCAACGAGGCGGTCATTAAAGGGTGGCATGCAACCATTTTCCCCATCGAAGTTGGCTGCCGCGGGTTCCCAGCAAAATCGGTGCATTACTTTCTTCAGAGGGTTGGTCTGGAGCCCAAACAGCTGAAGGAAGCCACAAGGGACATTGCCTCGGCAGCCGAGACCAGCTCAAGATGGCTGTGGTTGAAAAGAGCCCACAGTTGGAACCCCTCTGCAGGTGAAGGCTAACCAGTCTTCGCTGCCCCACTCAGGCGAGGTGTACAGGTTAAGGGGCGAAACACCTGTGAACCTGAGCAACCTGCTGACGATGTAGAGGGGCTCTCAACATTGTGGATGCTCCAAGGGACACCATCATGGAAGAAACCAGCATTTAAGTTTGTGTAGTTCCTGCAGTTGCAGCTTGTAGCAAAGCATCTTTGATGTTTACTTCACCTTAGCAGCGCAAAGATTAGTGGTAAGTGGGATGTGAGGTTTTTTTAGGGGGAGACACCCCAGGTGAATAGGGCAGATACCACCATGACTGGCTCTTAATTCAGACAACAAACACCACCTTTATTCAAAAAATCAGAACATTCACTGTAATTACAATATTTAACACTGTAGGTTATTAGTCTTATGCTGTGCAATAAAGGTTAACAAATATATCTTGTGTGGTTGATATTTTTATTATTATTATTATTATAGGTTTATCAAACAAGCAATTACAAAGTGCATTACAAGGCACACATTAAAACAACAAAAGATAAAATACAATGCCAAATACACACTTCCACATAGGCCTATGTATAATTACAAACATATATAAATAAATCAATAAATTAAGACCATAAAGGAAACCTAACTGCAACATGATGGCAATGTTTGTCAGCCAGACAGGTGTAAAATGTTTAGTCCAAGAATTCCATAGTTTGTAAAGCAAAAGAAATCCCATTAAAAGAATAATACAATTGTAGTCATAACTGTTGCTTTTCCTCCCCGTGTGTAGCCAATTCATGTAGTTTTGACAATGTTTGGACTATTGATTAAGTAGTTCATTTTCTTACATTTAGGGTCATATGACTTCCAAGGCCTACAATCTGCCCAATTCAACAGTTCAAGTTCAAATCCCAAGTTATGATAAACAAACTTGTGACCACTGTGTAAAGTAAATATGTTGTTTTAGGAAATTCCACTTTGTATGACTTCAAAACATTGAACTTCAAAAGGACGACCAAGTCATTGGTACAAGGTTTGTTTTTCCATGTGTTACATTTGTTAGAATAAATATTAAATATCACAAACAACATCTCATACACCCATTAAGATGATTAATACAGTGGAATTTATGTGCAATGTAGCCATTATTCTCTGGCTACATAACATGCAACAGTAACAGCTAATTATAATAATTATTCACATTTAGTCAGAGTTCAGTTCAGATACATTTATTGGTTATTGTTTGAACAATTGCTGTAAAGTAGAAGGATCACATTTTTGAATTACATCATCAGCAAAATCATCGAAACACAGAGCAATCACTGTGATGGGACACAATCTGTTGTCAGTTGTCATGGGCTTCCACACAATTATTCTGCTCTATTTTAAGCAGGTGTGTGATAGTTTATTGCTGTGTGATTGGGTATATAAGACACCTGTAGAACCTGATTTTGACCAGCAACCATGGAGAGAGTCATAGTTAACCTCAAAGATGACAAAGGCACTGTCCAACTATGTGTAAGCAGAGATACTGCAGACAAATTGGCAACTGGTGAGTAAAAAGAAATATATGATACATCATACCATTACAAATGTAGATGGCAATTATTTTACGAGAGCTGTTTTTTCAGATAACCAGTACGCCTCTAACATACTGGAGCAAATAAGAGCTGCAGAAGACTTTCAAGGTAAATTATCTTGATTGTGCTACACATGAATATTTAAATGCATGTGAATAATTATTTTGCAATTTTCTGGATTTCTTTCTCTGCAGTAAACCCACAATCTATCAGCCCTGTCATCCAACTGCCTGTCCTCCCCACTCCTCAACCTCCAACTTTCACCCAGAGTCACACTCCCCAGCCCAAAGTTTCCTCCACCCCTAGTCACATTCAAACCAAGCCAACTGCTACATTCACCAGGTGCTCCACTCCTATTCCTCAGCCCCAAGTTTCCACCACTCCCAGTCACAGTCAAACCCAACCAGCAGCTACAGTCACCTGGTGCCCCACTCCTGAAACAAACATTTTATCACACTCATCCCCTTCAGACAGCCTGTTCCCAGTTTCATCCTCACAGCCAGAATGCCATGAAACCCAGACAGGTATGGTGACTTTTGGTTTGTGATCTAAATGTTGGAATAAAATGTATTTTTTTTAACTATCCTGAAATGTTTTTACAGAATTCCAACACAACACAACACTATTACTGCTTGAGCTGACCAGGACATATCAACACCTGTACAACCGGAACAAAATATCCTTTTACAAGAAGCTGGAAGAAGCCTTTAGTGCAAAAGGATATTCCTTCACAAACGACAAAATCAGGAGAAAACTCGGTAACATGCTGACAACTTACTAAAGGGCTACAGACAGGTCTCGGACAACAGGAGAGGGCAAAATCACCTGGGAATATTACTCGGTAAGTGGTGCTATGTACATATGTTAAATGTTAGTGGGACTTTCTGAAGTGTATCAAGATTACCTTAATGTCCTGTTTCATTTTTGCCACCCACAATTTTTATCAGTGCACCATAGTTTAAATACTGACAGGAGTGATCACAGCAAATGGGTGGGGAGGGGACACTTGTGCTTCTTATTTTAACTGAAAGTTTCTCCTTTTGTACAGCAAATGCATGAAATATTTAGTGACTCCAGGGTCGGGAGTGTGCCACCAGGCACCATCACTTCAACACCACTCTTTCCAAGTCAGACCTCATCTGAACTCAGTCGGTCAACTCTTGAACGTGACACAGACGATCAACAGCCTGGCCCATCAACTGCCACGCAGACAACACATCCATCTGCCAAAAAAAGAGGCAAAGCTAAATCCTCATTTCAGGACACTTACGAGTCCCATGCTGAGCGGAGGATGGCTGCTCTGGAGTCACTCGTGAGGCCAGAATTGGCAAGATGGAGGAGACTAAAGGAGAGAAGAAGAAATTATGAGAAAAAAATTATCTCATGTATGGGACAAATACTTACCCAATTAAAAGACATTGGAAGGCAGCAAGAACAAATTATTGACTTACTAAAAGAAAGCAATACGAAATAAAAATGTTGAATGAAATTTATGTGTCTGTCTTTTTGATATGTTGGGAAGAAACTGAAAAAATGTTTGAAAACTGAAACACTCCACAAAGGCAGCAGTGGTTGGCTCGTTCAAATTCACAACCACGAAATGACTGCCTCTGGGGGCCACTGATACTCCAATATCCCCTGCTGATTTCGCCTGGGTTCTTACCACCCAGTTGCCATGAGCTGCCACTTGGAGGCACAGCAGAAGTCTTGATGATGTAGAGGCACTTCAGTCAAAGGGTAACTAACTTAATGCCTTAGAACATTGTGACATTTGTAGTTTTTGATCTCCATGATAAACTTGCCATTTGATCTGAGGTGCCTCACATCACCCTGTGGCATACTGCACACCAACTCACAAAAACTTAAAGAAAAGACTGTAAAGAAAAGGGGATGAATGTAAAGGTGTGTCCTGTCTTTAAATGAGTGCAGAAATCCTGTCTCTGTACTGAGATGCATTTTGGTTGTTGGGCTGTGGTGGGTGTACATCAGTGTCCACTTCGACTTGAAGGGGACCTTGCTCCTCTTCATTAGGTTGGTCACCAGAGTCCAAACAGATATTATGCAGAATGCAGCATGTTGTCACAGTTGCACTGATGTGTGCCACTGTCTTCATGTGCAGACACTTGAGCCTCCTGAACTTGGACTTCATGATTCCAAATGCATGCTCTATTGCCACACGAGCTGCATTCAGCTTCCTGTTGAAGTGCCTCTGCTTGGCCGTTAGGTGCCCATTATCCCTGTAGGGCTTCATTAGTTGTTGTAACAGAGGGTACGCTGAATCTCCAATGATGTACATTCCCTCTGGGACCAGGGCCTGGGAATCTTCCTCTAGTAGTCGCCCAACATCTGTGTGTCGAAATGCTCTCACATCATGCCAACTCCCGGGGTGACCTACATTAACGTGGCAAAAACGCTGCTCACCATCACAGAAGCTGGTGAGGATGATGGAATAGAACTGTTTCCTTTTATAATAGGCTATGGGGTTGTTGCAGTGGGGTTTTATGATGGGAATGTGACATCCATCAACAGCACAGATTGTATTTGGAAATCCGGCTAATTGAAACTGTAACTGAGATAGGTGTATTGCTTCTACTGTGGGCCATGAAATGTGATGTGACAGATGTGAATTTACCAGGGAACAAAACTGATGGACATGGGTTGACAGTGTAGACTTTGAGATGTTGAATCTGTCTGCCACACCCCTATATGACTCTTGGTTGGATAAAGTCCACAGGCAGGCAAGAACACTGTTAGACATGGGTAATTTTGTTTGTTGTGGGTTTGAATAGAAAGGTCCCAATGTGATCATAAGGTCCTGGTTAACAGAGAAGAGAAAATTATCCAAATAACATGCAACTATCAGTCATAATACTTTGGCCTTGACATGCTTTAGATAAGCCTACCTCCACTTGTCCCCTTGAAAGTCTGAAATGACTTTTGAAGTCCACCACACTGTACAAGGGTACAACCTCCTCGACAAAATGTGGCACTTTGTGAACAAATCTAGGAGAAATATAATGCATATTATTCTAAACAGAACTCAAAAGAACTCATTGGGCTTGCAGAGAGCAGTTATGAAATGAATATCATTGCTGACCAAAGCAAACCATGTAGGCCTGTCTCCACAATGGCACCTTTACATGATATAATAAAGATACAACCTTGTTTTCAACTTTGGACAATAAAGTTGCCAGATTATTTGAATTTTTATTAAGTGTTTTAATTTGCCTAAAAAGTAGGAGGATTTCTAAACCCATTAGCTGATAACTTCACAAAATGTGGTTCTCAACATGTGCCGACTATTAAAAAAACATGCAAAGCACTAGACTAAATGAACTGTAACAGTGGCCATAAACTCTGGTTTGTTTTAAATATTAAGAAAGAACAAATCACCTTCTCCGTCCAAGTTGATCTTCGTGGAAAAGTACCTCTTCTGTACCTCGGATGGCTTTGAGCTTTGAGGTCACCTGGGGTTTTGTAATGGAGTCTCTTGTGCAGGAACTCCCTCCCTCCTGCAGTTTCACTTGATGGATACTACTGGATAAAAGCCGCCAAGATATCCGCGTATTTCGACTGGCGTGATTCCCAGTCAACATTTTCTTGGAATTTCGCTGCTTTATAGTCCAGGGTCACTTTAAGTAGCAAGCTCACTTCATCATCACTCCAGACAAAGGTATCCGTGCGTTTGCTTTTGCCATTGTGTCTTCTTTGTTTTGGTTTGTAATCACCGCGTTGTAGAGGAAGGCGCTTCAGCGCAGGTGCGTGGTGTCATGTCTTGGTGTTGCTTTGAAAATTTACACTGCCACCCATTGGCCTGGTGTGCACACTACAGCGTTTCCAGTAGATTTTGTGGCTCCATGTGAACGGGGATCATTTCAATAACGTTGTCATATAAACGCAGAAGTTTTTTAAAACGCAAAGGACAGACTTTTTCAGAGAGACCGTTGTCGTGTTAACCAGGGCTTGAAGCTCAGTGTCAGTTACTATGGCAACTGACTGTTTGAATGAACCTATTCGGGAGCAGGTTTTCTTCAATGAACCTCGAGTTTCTAGCTGTCTCCTCCCTCTTACGCCACACATGCACTGTGATTCATTCATTCATTCGTTTAGTGTCGTGCGGGTTTCAGCGAGTTTGATCTGTCCTCAAGGTAAAGTCAGATCCTAAAGTGTGTTCTCGTTCTGAATCTACTTTTTTTGACCATGGCATGTCCGTTCTTGGAGGACCCTGTGGACGAAGAGCAGTTACTGAGTCAGGAGATTATTCACAGGCCCAGAATTGACATATTATCATTTCCAGAACATTTTTTTTTTTGAACGGTGTGGTTTCACATCACAGTCCATCATTTAAATCCATAACCTCATCCGTCGTGACATAACCAACGTCACCAACTGTGGACGTGCACTTTCATCTACCCAGATTCTTTGTGTTGCTCTTCATTTTTTGCAAACAGGAGTTTTCTGTATAATATAGGAGATGCAGAAAATATCAGTAAGGCCGCTGTCTGCAGAGCCGTGAGAAAAGTGTCCCTAGCTCTGAAACGTCTATTAAACTCTTTTGTTGTTGTGTTCCCTGGACATAAGCCTGTGAGGGTCATCAAGGAGGAGTTCCACAGGATTGCAGGTGAATGATGTAGAAATCAGTTAAAATTTATGATTATGAATCATATTCAGTTAATGATATGGTGCTGCAACCTCAGACTGGGATTAGTAATTTTAATTTCTTTTAGGATTTGATAGGGTGCACTGATGGAACCCACATTCCCATCATTGCTCCCTCACAAAATGAAGGAGACTATGTGAATAAAGTCCATTCACAGCATTAATGTGCAGGTAGACTGACTGTCTCAAAATGTCAGACTACATCACACTGCAAAAACTCAAAATCATACCAAGAATATGTGTCTTATTTCTAGTCAAAATGTCTCATTTCTAGTCAAAACAAATCACACCTAAAAGTAACTTGTTTTTAGACTATTTTCACTTGTTTCAAGTACATTTTCACTTGAAAAATAATTAGAAAAATCTGTCAGTGGAGCAAGTTTGTTATTTCTACTTATTTCAATTGAAAATGTGCTTGAAACAAGTGAAAATTGTCTAAAAACAAGTTACTTTTTAGGTGATGTGTCTTAAGTGTAAAGACATTTGATTTGATTAGAAATGAGAAATGTAGACTAGCAACTAACATCTGTCATTCTCTGCACTGTCAAGATCATATGTGATGCAGCCCACATTATCACTAATGTGGAGGCCAAGTGGCCTGGGTCGGTACATGACTCACGGATGTGAGTGGATGGATGTTTTATATTTCATCTTGAGCTGCTTCCACATTCTTTTTTCGCCGGTGGGATTGCATGTAAGTGAACTAAATTTTAGCTTTAACACCATTCCACCTGTTTGCATTTGTAGCCTAATGTTATTGTGATTGCATAAATGTTTAAAATAAATTTAAACTTGCGCATTGACTCGAGCAGTAATTTTCTCCCACGCCGACTCCCGTTCCTTTGCTGCTGCAGCCGTGTTACTCTTCTTCCTGAAAACGGCTTCAAATTCGCTGCATTAGCGCATTAAAATATCCGACTCCAGAGGAGTAACAAAACGCAGACCTTCTCTTGTCGCTTGTTGCCATGGTGAATCGTGGTATCGGGGCTCCATTGATGACAGCTTTTTAAAGTCATGGTGCACGCACTTAACTCAGAGTGAACAAACTCTGTGTTGATTGAACCAATTGAAATCACCTGTTCTGAAACCCGTAACCCAGAGTTTCCCATCTCAGAGTTACTCAACTCAGAGTTCAGGGTTAGGCTCAGAGTTTGTTGAACCTCCTTTCTGAAACGGACCCCAGGAGTTTTCAAAATTAGAGGGAACATTGGTGACAGCTATAGTTACTGCTTCATACTTTATTAATCCCCCTGAGGGGAAATTCAAATTTTTTCCATTTTTGTCATTAACACACAGGTCCGAAATACACACACATGCACAAACAGGACCTATACATGCACAAAGTGGAGAGCCTTGGTCCAGCGCCCCGAGCGGTTGGGGGGTCGGTGCCTTGCTCAAGGGTGCCTCGGCAGTGCCCAGGAGGTGAACTGGCACCTCTCCAGCCACCAGTCCACACTCCATATTTGGTCCGGACGGGGACTCGAACAGGCGACCCTCCGGTTCCCAACCCAAGTCCCTATGGACTGAGCTAGTTATGTTACAGATGAAGATTTTAAATTTAAAATAGATGATGATCTATAAAATAGAACACTTTGTTAAAGATTTAAAAGTCCTTACCTGTCACGTCTCGGGCTGGACCCAAATGCAGCAGGCGGACAAGGTCAGGTAAGTTTACAATGTTTATTGAGTCAAAAAAGGGGGGTATTAGCTGGCAGGCGGTGACGGCGGAGTATGGGGCAGAGGGGGTCCGGTGTGGCGTGGCTGGCGGCAGGAGATCCTGGACAGAAACAATTATTAGTTCAAGCGGGAAAAAAACAAAAGCAGGCAGAG